CGGCATTCTACCCCTATGAAGGAGAGCTGTAAAGCAATGATGCTTCATGATAGGTTACAGTTTGCTGGCCAGGCAAGAGGTTGTGAGATCCATCAAATTGGAAAGGGGGTGTTGACCTGTTGACTAAGCAGCCGTGGACCTGTTGTGTGACAAATATAAGACCAAGTCGTTCTGCACCTGTTGTCCTGCGGCTCTGGAGTCGATGTCGCGACCTTCTCTACTTTCTTTCTCTCTGGAAGAAGCTCTGATCAGAATGGCGTATCCCACAGAAGATGCGTACATTACCTTAGTAAAAGGATTGTTACCACGACCTTAACGCGGTATTAAATGTCCTATTGTTAGTCGTGTGTGCTGTTACATGGCAGAAGCTTAATACAACGAGTATGACGGAGTCGGAAACCGTCGGCGCCAGTGACTGTCTTGGACAAACTATCTGGACTATGAACTTCCTGAAACACCAGGGCATACATACGCGCAGGAGATACTGTTATCAAGATAATGTAAGTGCGATACGTTTGGAAAAGAATGGTAGACAGTCTGCAAGTAAAAGGTCACGACACATCCATCTCAGATTCTTCTTTATTAAGGATCGCATTAAGAGAGGCGACATCCACCTGCTCTATTGTCCCACGGCGGACATAGTGGCAGACTTTTACTCCAAGCCACAACAAGGCAGCTTGTACAAGCGCTTCTGCGACATGGTAATGGGCATGACTCCAGTACCGCCCGTGGAAGATCCCTCCTTTACTTGCCCGACATCTCAGGAGCGAGTTGGAAGTAGTATTTTTGGAGCTGGCGGACAACGTACGGACGGCGAGAATATGACCAAAATGGCCAGACCAACGGTGACATGGGCAGACCGCGTTCGCGGTTTTGCTGGTGGGATTGCCAGACCAGAGTTGCTTGGTCCCGCGCATGAAAAACTAGTAAATAGGTAAATAGAAGTAGCCACTGGATTGCATGAGCTGCAATGCCCATTCAATCCAGGTAACAACAATTAGATACTGGAATTAACATTCAAATAAAAGTCCTTTTATTTTTTTAGACTAGAGGCATCCCAGTAGGAGAGCCATACAGCCAGAAATTGGCCTCCAACAGTTTTGTTGTCACTTTCTTCTTTGATGTTGAGTGCTTCTTTGGCAGCACTCATGCATGCTAGCATTGTTAGGGCAACTTGTGGGCAGTATAGTTTGCTGTCGGGTGTTGGAACCAACAATTGTCTTCCTTGTCCGTCAGTGACTCGAACGTTTTGCTTTGGTGTGGGCATCAATGCGGTGTGGAAGGTTCCAGCGGTCTCGATCGTTGGAGTTTGGAAGGAGCAATTGTCTTGGAATCCTTACAATTCTTGTTGGTAAAATCCTGCAAAAGCTCTTCCTCCTGGACTTGGTGGTGCACATAGTCCTGGACTTAGCTTCTGTTTGGCCTGACTTGTCCTGCGCTTTTTGCAATTCCCACAAGTTGCTTGATGCGCTTCTCTTCTTTCTCTGCTCATTCGCGTAGGCCGGGCATTCAAGACAAGTTGCTGCTGCTCCTGTCTCTAGGTGTACAGCCATAATGTCCTTGCTTTCTTGTGTGAAGGCTTGGAACGCTACTCCTGCCAAGTCTGATATGTCAGATAATCAACTCTGTACCTGTAATGAGAGCCTCAACGCTCTAGCTACCTCTGGAGTATACTGAGCTCAAATCTACGTTGGCTATGGATTGCCTACAATAGGAACAGGTGCCAGTGATGCTGGGCTTCTACCTGCGGATGAACAGTCTCACCACTTCCTATTAGATCTTATTCTACTGCTATTCTTGCCAGAAGTCAATCAACAATGATCTCCACAGCAGGTACAAAAAATCTCTTCCGGAAGCCACCTGCGTCAGCTCTCACCAGCTGTCGCGGTGTATAAAGCACATCCGCATATGTTCTTCACAAACTAGTCACAGATCCCGTCCGCGTTTGATACCACAAATGTCCGTCTTTACTGTCCAACATGTTCGACTGTTCTTTTATCCATTAGGATCCTATTTCACCAACACACTCCTGTCATTTTGACGACTTCAGTTGCAATAACAAACCCTTTCTTCATTCAATATGTAACGTGTATATATAACCAACAACGGTTATATCTAATCTTCCTGATCCCCTTGGATCAATGCCCAAAATTTGCAGAACTTTTCTGAATGAGAACATGTCCCATTGCTGCCAATGGTGATTGTCACAATGGCAGGAGTGTGTTGGGATATGACAAAATATGAGTTTTTATGTTCCAAAAAGAAACTATTCAAGTACGAAGTTTTTGACACGTACGATTGGACTTTGATCGTGATGTCGGGATTCCGCAAGTATGCCGGACGCAAGTCTGTTGGACAATCTACATCCACACAAAAAGGGAATGACCCTATACAAGTGAGATATCGGTGTTGTGTACAATGCAGTAGGGAATAATACAAGATGTCCCAAAGTACTGCATTCAACACAGAATTGTCGTAGAAGTCAAATCAAGTTCTGTAAACAAGGGATTTTCCAAGGGAAAATCGTTGAAATTACTTTTGTGATTGAATCATCAATTCAAGCCAAATATTAATCAAATAGGAACAATTACACTCAAAGTATACCTAGACACAGGAGAACTATTGTCGTGAAAGTGTTGTACAGTCGATTGCAAATTTAGATTGCAGAGAGTTTGTTCTGAGCGCTAAAGGCACTCACGATAGAGCACATTTTGCTTTATTCTAACACCCTCCATCAAGCTACAATCATCCTTTTGTTTTTCAAGTGTGCTGGGGCCTGGACATTTGGCGTCACAACTGGAAGTTTCATGTGGAAACTCAGGAGGGCCATGCCACAAATCGTCCCTCCCCTTTGATCACAAGTGATCTTCAGTGGCACCTCAGCCTCCATGCCCCATCCAAGATCACTGACTGCACACAAACACGCACCAGTCCACCATTTGATGTGCCTGTCCTTTAGCAACATGGGTGTGCGCAAGGGTGCAGCTCATGTGATGTTCCAGCTGAACATCACGCATTTGGACGTCTCTCCTACTCTGATCTTCAGAGTTAGGAGCGTGTTGCTGTTGTCATGCGGCTCTGGAGTTGATGTCGCGACCTTCTCTACTTTCTTTCTCTCTGGAAGAAGCTCTGATCAGAATGGCGTATCCCACAGAAGATGCGTACATTACCTTAGTAAAAGGATTGTTACCACGACCTTAACGCGGTATTAAATGTCCTATTGTTAGTCGTGTGTGCTGTTACATGGCAGAAGCTTAATACAACGAGTATGACGGAGTCGGAAACCGTCGGCGCCAGTGACTGTCTTGGACAAACTATCTGGACTATGAACTTCCTGAAACACCAGGGCATACATACGCGCAGGAGATACTGTTATCAAGATAATGTAAGTGCGATACGTTTGGAAAAGAATGGTAGACAGTCTGCAAGTAAAAGGTCACGACACATCCATCTCAGATTCTTCTTTATTAAGGATCGCATTAAGAGAGGCGACATCCACCTGCTCTATTGTCCCACGGCGGACATAGTGGCAGACTTTTACTCCAAGCCACAACAAGGCAGCTTGTACAAGCGCTTCTGCGACATGGTAATGGGCATGACTCCAGTACCGCCCGTGGAAGATCCCTCCTTTACTTGCCCGACATCTCAGGAGCGAGTTGGAAGTAGTATTTTTGGAGCTGGCGGACAACGTACGGACGGCGAGAATATGACCAAAATGGCCAGACCAACGGTGACATGGGCAGACCGCGTTCGCGGTTTTGCTGGTGGGATTGCCAGACCAGAGTTGCTTGGTCCCGCGCATGAAAAACTAGTAAATAGGTAAATAGAAGTAGCCACTGGATTGCATGAGCTGCAATGCCCATTCAATCCAGGTAACAACAATTAGATACTGGAATTAACATTCAAATAAAAGTCCTTTTATTTTTTTAGACTAGAGGCATCCCAGTAGGAGAGCCATACAGCCAGAAATTGGCCTCCAACAGTTTTGTTGTCACTTTCTTCTTTGATGTTGAGTGCTTCTTTGGCAGCACTCATGCATGCTAGCATTGTTAGGGCAACTTGTGGGCAGTATAGTTTGCTGTCGGGTGTTGGAACCAACAATTGTCTTCCTTGTCCGTCAGTGACTCGAACGTTTTGCTTTGGTGTGGGCATCAATGCGGTGTGGAAGGTTCCAGCGGTCTCGATCGTTGGAGTTTGGAAGGAGCAATTGTCTTGGAATCCTTACAATTCTTGTTGGTAAAATCCTGCAAAAGCTCTTCCTCCTGGACTTGGTGGTGCACATAGTCCTGGACTTAGCTTCTGTTTGGCCTGACTTGTCCTGCGCTTTTTGCAATTCCCACAAGTTGCTTGATGCGCTTCTCTTCTTTCTCTGCTCATTCGCGTAGGCCGGGCATTCAAGACAAGTTGCTGCTGCTCCTGTCTCTAGGTGTACAGCCATAATGTCCTTGCTTTCTTGTGTGAAGGCTTGGAACGCTACTCCTGCCAAGTCTGATATGTCAGATAATCAACTCTGTACCTGTAATGAGAGCCTCAACGCTCTAGCTACCTCTGGAGTATACTGAGCTCAAATCTACGTTGGCTATGGATTGCCTACAATAGGAACAGGTGCCAGTGATGCTGGGCTTCTACCTGCGGATGAACAGTCTCACCACTTCCTATTAGATCTTATTCTACTGCTATTCTTGCCAGAAGTCAATCAACAATGATCTCCACAGCAGGTACAAAAAATCTCTTCCGGAAGCCACCTGCGTCAGCTCTCACCAGCTGTCGCGGTGTATAAAGCACATCCGCATATGTTCTTCACAAACTAGTCACAGATCCCGTCCGCGTTTGATACCACAAATGTCCGTCTTTACTGTCCAACATGTTCGACTGTTCTTTTATCCATTAGGATCCTATTTCACCAACACACTCCTGTCATTTTGACGACTTCAGTTGCAATAACAAACCCTTTCTTCATTCAATATGTAACGTGTATATATAACCAACAACGGTTATATCTAATCTTCCTGATCCCCTTGGATCAATGCCCAAAACTTGCAGAACTTTTTTCCTTGCAAAGGTTTTGTCATATAATCCCCCCACATGTCATCAGTTGGCATGCGTTTGATCGTAAAATTTCCTTTCTCAACCTGATCAGTGACAAAGAAATAACAAATGTTCAACACACGGCTTCTCTTGCCAGCACTTGATCTCCCGTTCTTTTTGAGGAGAATAGAGCTCATATTGTCTTGATACAAGATATTCTTCTCAATCGGATAACCTTGTTCTTCCATGAACATGCATGTCCACAACACTTGTGTGATTGCATCATCTATCCCGATTAGTTCCACATGTGTACTGCTGCGGCTGTTTAGCCTTTGTTTCTTGGACATAGTTTGCATAGCTCCACCACCCATGGTCATCACTCCTCCTGTTTGACTCTTGAAATCAGGGTGAACCGCAAAAGACGCATTGACAAACCACTTCATCACTCAAAGGTTGTCAGCACTCAGCGTGAGATGCCATTTCTTGGTAGAGTGCATGTGTCTCATAAGCCTTACAAGTTTATGCCAATCACTCTGATTTGGGTTTTGAACTTGTGACGCCAAAATTGCCACTGTCGGATGCATATCCAGACGCGTACATTTGGTCAAAAACAAATGTTTTGCAACAAACCTTCGTTGAGCATTCTTTCAACATAATCGTCCATCTGAATCTTCAACTTGCCTTTCTTTGAATAATCCAATGTCATTCCCAGGTAGGTGTGAACTCGTTCCCGTGTGCAAGTCACTTCCTTTAGTCCTCCGTATCTCGCATTTATCCATGTAAAGAAATCCTCAAGAACTCTTTGTTCCATGTGGCTTGCTAGCACATCATCAACATGAAACCTGATAGTCAATTGCTTTTTGTTGACCATCATATTTGCAATGCACGGATCGTGATGCCCTCAGATTTCGGTACCATAGCAACGAAGCCTGTAACATCCCATAAATAGCACGGAGGATCACAACATAGATCACTTGACGTCCATTTTCGATTACTACAAAATCCCAATACGTCAGATCTAGGTCAATCATCTAATCAACCAGCAGTCCAGCAATTTTCATTATTACTTGTATTACTTGATCTTCTCCTTCATCCTGCTTGGGAATCAATGTTTGGATAAACGTGTTAGGTATATCCATTGACATGATGTTTCTACTTTCATGGGCATCAATTACACCCGTGCAGATAATAGCTTCATGCGAAGCTGTGGGACTTGCAGTGTCCTCACAAGACAACCAATCCTGGGTCCCATTACCTTTGAATACGCAACGTCCTTTGATCGTTACGCCATCATTCTTTTTGGCCAGTAGCATCATCACATCTACGGCCTTCTTGGTTTTAGTTTCTCAATACTGATTGGTGTCCAGGAACTGCGCTTGATCAGTTGGTCAAGTTCTTTCATGGCCGCGTCTTTACCTCGCTCCTTGAATATCTTCAGTCGTTTATTCAGATAGTATTGCTGAATGAACAAGACTCCGTCTTGCCCATTGATACCACCGTTGACACCATCACGTATCTGTTGAATAACACGCGCGACTACCAAAGCTTTGTCCGCGTCATATTTGCCTTTGTTTGTGTTTCCGACTTGCTGGAATGCCAAATTGTGCATGTGTTCTTGGATGGAACGCTTGTACTTATGGTTCCCTTGTAACTGTGCTCCTTTTCTTTGCGTGTCAATCCTTCTCTTGATTGCTTGATACAACAAGACTCGGAGTCTTTTCATTTGTGCTTTTCTTCTCATCGCATGCCTGTTTCTCAAAACGTTTGGCACAGGCGGATTCTTTCTTTGCAGGTATGCCTGTCCAAATCTTGATTTCTCTGTTTGGTATCTCTCAGAGGGTCTCATTTTTACCCCTTGTAAGAAGTAGGATCGATTGTGTCTTGGACAAAGTACCCTTTTTGTTCCAATCTCTACACCGTCGTCAATGTAACTTCGCACAATTCCTTTGGACTCATTACCATCCGCAAATCTCACTCCTGTGTGAGCAACACTATCTTCCTCTTCTGATTCAACTACCACACCTTCTTGTGTATTGTCATCATCTTCATCTTCTTCATCAAATGTGAACAGAACTTCTTCTTTGTCAGGTTTCCCAGGTTCCACTAACTCAGCTGCCAGTTTGTCTAGCATCTGCTTGGCTTCGTCATCGTCTAATTCAGACTCATAATTGTCTTCATAGTCTATGTCCTCATTGCCAGTTATCCATTCATGTTCTTGGTAGTCTTTGTCCAATTGATCTTCAGCATCTTGTCTAGCCTTAATCTGCTTGAACATTCGATTGAACATTTCATCCTCTAGCTCATCTTCATATTGACTTGCCTTGCTATCGTATCTTGGGTTCCTGTCCCTGTCAAGCCTCGCTTCCATTTTGTCTGCTTCAGCATCCATTAGTAATTCATCAAGTTCGTCATCTGGAATATTTTCATTTCGGAGGGTCACATCACTCAGTCTCTCAATTTTGTTTACTGGTACATAGTTTTCATCCCACAGTTCATCTGGGTCCACTCCTTTGAGCAAATCTCCATTGAGGATTAGCTCGCCATTGTGCTTGGAATAGGTGCGTAATTCCGTCACTCCTTCCAATCTTGCGTCTTCTTCAATGATCTTGATGACTTGATCAGTCATTGGAAGAACCTTGATCTTTGTACATTGTGCCTCGCACTTTTTGTTTAGATCATATATACAGTGCCCCTCTTGAATATCGTTGGTGGGTCCCATGTAAACACCTTCGATCGTTCGAGCAGCCATATTATTTGTGGTGTCATGGCCATATCCATGGACATATGCACCAATCTCAACAACAAATTCTTTAGTGGCATCAACCATTCGTTGATGCATAATCATATGCGGGCTGTAGTATGCAGACAACCCACCTTTTGCTTGATAGTAGTTGGATATTTTAGCAACTTGTGTCATAAGTGCCACAGTTAACTTCTTTGGAATCGCCTTGAATGGCATTTGGTGAAAGTGAACCCGAAACAGTGCTTTTAAATGTTGATTATTTTGTTCCGCTTGTGGATCATGCTTGCCTCTGCTGGCGTAGTTCATGTGAACTTCAAGTTCATCTTTCATGGGGCTCAAATACCGGACGGAATTCTCCATCGCAATAAATCTTTTCCACCATGAAGTCATGTGCATTATATAATCGAAAGCATTTGTCAATTGCGTCATACAATGCCGTCTTGGGTCTTGATGCCAAAGGTATGTAGCACCGGTATCTCACACTCCCATCAATGGTCGTGAGTCCAAATGAATTGTCACAAAAACAAGATCAATGTGCAACACAACACTCAGATTGTGCATTAACAACTCATTTGGTATTTCTATCCAGTCATCCCGCACTCCTTCAGGTGTGGGACGCTTTGTCTTCCCTTTTAGGACCAAAGAACCAGGTCCATATATCTTCTCAGCAATGATTGCATCTTCTTCATTCACATTGCAGTTCTTGAACAAACCAGATCTTACTGCAATACGAAACGCTTGCACGCCTGGTGCACCAGCCACATGGTACACTGATTGTGCGCGATTAGCCCGTTCAACTTGTTTATCAGTGAAGCCCTCGATATTTGCCGGTACCGTCTGTATGCCACAATAATCGGAATTGGAATAGCTAATTTTTAAAATTCTACCACAGAAAATAACACCACATTTATGGCATTCAGTGTGTGCGACACCAAACGCATCGCAGTCACAATTTCTGCATTCTCTGTATTCACACTCAGAGTATTTGGATCCCTCATCACTTTCTGCCCTACCATTGGGTACAAAAGTATACAATCCGTTTTGATGCACATGTCGCATTTGTTGTTCCCCCTTCATTTTCAATATCAGTGCCCATAACAACACGGAATCCAAGCTTCACAAGCTTGGATAAACTATTGAGGCTACATTGCGCTTCAGTATCAAGCAAGCAAGTGTGTCCTTCGATGATACTTGATTTGACCTGTTGATGCAGATCACGTTGGCCAGTGTTTGTACCGTAGTTGAACATGTAATCCAGGGCAGACACAGTGCCCGGTTTGGCGTAATCTTCGTTCATTTGTAGGCTGAACGTAGATCCAGAATCAAGATGCACACCAAGATCGATATCCCAGTGTTTACTTCCATTGGACTTGAAAGGTTTCTTGCTATCTTTGGTCTATTGAGAACAGTGTTTCAATGAATCCATCTTCGAGGTCGACTTGTAGATCTGCATGTTCAAGCTTCCATCGCTGACCATGCTGTCACTGTCCTTGAAAGTACTGGCAGCTTCTAGGTGTGCTTGCCATTTCTTCATTAGCAACTCTTCCCTGTCTTCAGTGGAGACTGCTTTCTTCTTCAGAATTGGCCGTACACATACTTTGTGCAAGGTTCCATCCTGTAATTCTACTGTTAGATCGTTCACCAGCAACAGAACTGCCTTGTACCACATAAGAGCCGGGTACATTAGTAGTACCAGAAGTGCCAATACCACTCCTATCAACAACAGCTCGTTGCATATTGCTTTGATGTTGTTGACCAGTTGATTGCATTCCTGTAATGCTAGACGCTGCGGATGCAGACGCAGGGACTTGGAGATTGGCTCTCCCCGCTTGTCTTGAAGTAGTAGTAGTAGTAGTAGTAGTAGTAGTAGTAGTAGTAGTAGTAGTAGTAGTAGTAGTAGTAGTAGTAGTAGTAGTAGTAGTAGTAGTAGTAGTA